CCATAATACCCTACCTATTTTAAAGTCCATAATTACTATAGGCAGATAACTTACATGAAAATTAATTCAGTATCAGAAAGGGACTGCACTGTCAAGGAAGTCAGTGCAGAAGGAGAGAACACACCTGCATTGGCTGGAGGTGCAGCTGTGGAAGGCAAGACCTTGAGGTGGAACTCACAATGGCCGCGTTCACACACTTTCCCAAGGCGTGAACGGAAGCTCGAAATGCTACTGTAGTTGGGACCACCTGTTTGGGACTTCTTACAGAAACAAACCATTATCTCACCAGCAGTGAGGTCCTGTCTCACTCACTAAGACCAAGGCTAAGACTAACCTTCAGACTACAAAGGCTAAGACAAATGTAAGATTAAGACTATAAATTATCAACAGATTAATGATGTCATCCATATGCCCTTGCTACCTGCTCTGCTTCACTATTAGATCAGTATTAAGTGGCTGTGCTTGGAATCTTACTGGTTGACTACAGTTTGACCAGTTTGTACCCACTTTGTGACTCGGCCCTACGGCAGCAACCCATTTGGAACCTGCCCATCTCCCACGAGCTCTCCCTATTTCCCAAGAGAAGTATCCTGCTCTTAACCTCTTTTGTCCTTTGGAATTTATTCGTTGATATCTTGGAGCACAAACTTGGCACATCTGACATCCAGTACATCGGGAATTATATCTCTCCTATATCACAACTTTAATGCCCGTTTTTCAGGTTAGAAACTTATTCACAGGATCCAGAGATTAGGGTGTGGGCATTTTGGGGAGCTATTCTGCTGACCACACCCAACAATGTCACATGTACAATGGAGTGTTCAATCAAATAATATTAAATAAAATATAGGAAAATATTCCAGTACCCAAGAAGAAAAAGAAATTTGTCCATGGAAACAAACGGTACTGATAAGATGATGAAATTAGTAGGTAAGGGCTGCTTTTTTCTTCAGTAAAACTTGCAAAGATTCTTTTTTCTCTTCCCTAGAAAAGAATCTGACAAGTTTCTTTTCTTTTCTTTTTGGACAAAAAAATGAACGTAATATACAGAAATCAGTGGAGAGTAAGTGAGTGATAGTATCATTAATTCTCTTTCCCATTTTTTAAAAATTGAAATATTTAACTGACACCCTAAGACATAAAAATTATACATATTTATGGAATTCTATGTCATGCTTTGAAATATGTATTCATTGTAAAATGTTTGTATTAGGTATTTTCAAATTATTTACGAAACTTTTTTATTGGTACATTTTAGATACACAGTGATAATATTCTTCATAGGAATTTGTACCTGTACATGATCTATCTTTCTTTTTGTCCCATTTCCTTCCCCTCCCTTTGATCTCCTTCCTGTTTGTTTACAAAAGCTGTTTCCCTTTTCGCTTCTATTCTCTTTTTTCCTTGTCCCTTTTTCCTTTCCCCTCCCACCTCCCTCAGTCCCTTTCCCATTTCATTATTTTCTTCTCATTTCCCAATACCTATTATACATTTTGGTCCTTACTTACACTTTTGATTTCTCACACCAGGGAAATAATGCAATATTTATATGTGTGCCCAAATTATTTCTTAGGAGTATGGTCTCTAGATGCATCCATTTACCTATAAATTACTTAAGCTTATCCTTTCTGGCAGAGTAGTACTATTGTATTTAAACACACACACACACACACACACACACACACACACACACACTTCGTTTATCCATTCATTGGTTGATGGGCATTTGGGCTATTTCCAAAAATTGGCTCTTACAAATTACACCACTATAAATATGATGTGCAAATATCACTGAGGTATGATGCTTTCAGTTCTTTTGAGAAGATACCAAGATGCGGAATACCTGGATCAAACGGAAGATAAGGATTTTAAAATGGCAAATTAAACTTTACTTCATGGTTTAAAGAAAAACATAAAGACACATAAAAAATGCAACCTAACAAAGAGAACTTAATGCGCTATCTAGCCAGGTATGGTGTAGTGACTGGATGATGCACTGTACAGGTGACGCGCGATCCCAGCACTTGAAAGGCTAAGCAGGAGAACAGAAGCAAGTTCAAGTCCCACTTAAGTTACACAGAGAGACGCTGTCCCAAAAAATCTAACAAACTGAATTTTATTGTTGAAAACTACGATACGTGAAATTTTGAGTGGATAATTTCAAACCAGATTACATGTTGTAGAAGAAAAAAACAACAAATTGAAGTACAGAGAAGCAATGCTGAAAAATAAAATAGTGATCTCTGGCATGACCTTAGTCTAATGTAAGCATAACTGTAATCCTGAGGTTAAAAATATTTTTCATAGATTTGATGAGAAGTATTGACCTAATATCAAAGAAACTCAACAAACTCAAATAGTATAAACACACAAAAAAACAAGGATACATATTAATCCAATTAACAATACAAAGAATGATAAAATATTGAAGCAAACTGAAAAAAAGATATATGCAAGGGGAAAAGTTAAGAACTACTGCTGAATTCTCATCAGAAACAATACAAATCCAAAGGACACAAGACATAATAGGTGCCCTCACACTCTACAGGAAAAGAAATTTAATTTAGGTCATGTTTCTAGGACTTCAGTCCATTGTTTGTAGTCCAAATGCAAAAGCATCATGGAAGAATGGCATGGCAGAGTGTAGATACTTAGCTGACAGAGGCCAGGAAACAAAGTGGAGAAACAATGCCAGACAAGAACAGCTTAGTGCCTGTATGTACCATCCCAGTCATGCCTCCGTGACCTATCCAGATCCATCGAGGAGTATGCTTTATTAATTAACTAGGTATTCTTAATCCAATGAAGGAGACAAATCAGGATTACCAGTTATATGTGGAATAGCATAGTGCTACAATTGTCTATTTAGTTAATAACATACCCCTGAAAATGAAAGTGAAATAAAGACAGTTCAAACAAGCAGAAAATGAAAGGAGCCCTTATCAAAAGTTACACTTCTTCCATAACTTTATATATATGCAATTAAACAGTGGGTGCTTTTTGTGTGTGTGATTGGCTAAATTCATTTAGCTTTTTTTTTTTTTTTTTTTTTTGAGATTCATGATGTTTTAACCTTTTCAAGTCAAGTTTACCTAAAAGGGGATCTAATTTTTATCAAGTACAGCATAAAGCTTTTTCAGCGGGCATCTCCAAACCTTTCCAAACCCTTCCATTGCCCACAAGCAGGTTTCAAGGTCTCCTAAACTACACGGTCGGGTTTAGTCACCAGAACAGCCCCAATTCTCTGATAACAAATTCTGTTTTAGTTGTTTTTTTCTTGCTGCTGATATAAGACACTTGACATCCAACATGAATGGAGGAAAGGTTAGTTTTGGCTCATAGTTTGTAGAGACTTCAGTCCGTAGTTGGCTGACTCCAAGGTAGGGTGGCATAGCAGAGGGGTACGACACAGGACACTTCATGGCAGGCAGAAGGCAGCAGAATACCTGTAGTCATCGCAGGTGGCTTTCTGCCCTTTATGCACTATGTAGGCTCACTGGTTTAGGAAGAGTGCCAAGCCAAGCAGTGGTCTAATTTAGTAACCACACACCCTTAATCCTAGCGCTCTTAGCCCTAGCCTTGTACAATGAATCAATCCCAGCATTAAGCACTCTAATTCCAGCCACCTCTGAAAAAGCCCCACCTCATGAGGCTTTGGGGAGACAGCTAAGCACAAGCCATAACAGGTGGTGGCTACACAAGTAGAGAGTTTTGTCAAAACTCATCAAACTGTTCTTTCAAAGTGGGAGACTTTTACTTCTGTACATTATACCTTAACTTAATAAAAGCAGGGCAGCTTTAAGGAGAGCAAGCAAAATGACAAAAAAAAAAAAGTAACGGAGAACTAAAAATAATTTGCAAAGAAAGTATTAATGATTTTAGAAAATGTTTGAATTCTTTTTCAAAAAATCACATGGAAAAGATAAGTAAAATCCATCATGGAAGATAGTTCAGTCATCTTTACCTACATGAGGGATTCAAATAGAAAAACCACGGCCTTAGGGCTGGGGAGATAGCTTGGCCTTCTAAGCGCAGCTGGATGTGATGGCCCGCGCCTGCACTCCCAGCCCTGCGGAGGCTGAGACAGGAGGATCACTAAGTGAGAGCTGCATATCGAGACTCCGGACCAAATAAATAAATAAGATTTGTAAAAAAACAAGAAAAGAAAAACCATGGCCTTTTCTATTTCAGTTACGCATCTTGTGTAACAATCACAGTGAGGGAGATCTTAGTACCTGCCAGCTTCTATTTGAAGAAATTTGGGGTAGGATCCGAGGCTCCTATCAGGTAGTGTCAGCGCTGCGGGTTCATCGGGTGTTCTTCAGGCAGCGTGGGCACACGTCACTTCTCCTGGCACTGACGCTTTATAGCACCAGACAGTTCGGTCCAGCAGTTTCCAAGCTCTACAGAGTCCACTCCTACGGTCAAGTGAATACTTACCTGTGGAATGACAATTCAGGCCCCTTTCTACTTAGGACTGTAAAAAGAACAGGTGCTTATGATGCTGTGCAAAGTGACAGGGGTCCTGTGAACCAATCGCCTTGAATTCAAATCCCTGCTGTTTCTAACCTAAGGTGATAATTTGAGTTAGTTACTAGGTGGCAAAACAATTCCTATTTTGTTTGGTCCTAAGCTACTGTGAAGACTGAAATAGGAACCGTAACTGAAAGTATAACAGAAACTACAACCTTAAAAAAAAAAAAAAAAAAAAAACTTAAAAATTCCCGCAGTTTAACAAAGGGGCGGAGCCTTTAAGTAAGAGGTGGGGTTTGGGGATCATCTTGGTAAGAGTGCATGGAATGTACCAATTATTAAGGAGGTATGAACCCTTAAAAAATTTGTAATAAAAAAGTATCTAAATTTAAAGTTATGAATAAACCAAGACACATGAACTAGGACCTCTCTCATGAGTCAACTGACATGCAGCTGGGAGCGCAGCGGTAGTATCTTGCTTCAGTCTCCAGCTCTCAGGCAGAGCACTTCCACCCACGCACCCCGCGGACTTTCTCGCGCCCAGCCCCACTTTCAGCCCCCGCTCCCCGCCCCCGCCCGGGGCAGTAGTTTCCACTACGCTAAGGGGGCGGCAGCCCGGGACTCATCTATCTCTGCGTTCCACGGAGGGAGGATGTGAGAAGCCTCCTTGAAAAGAACGGTAAGAAACCCAGGAGCGAGAAATGAGATCACAGTGATATTCGAGTCCGGGACAGGGCGTCTGCACGGTAGCTTCCGGGCCGGTCCGCGGCCCCAGCGCGGGCGCAGGCTTCGCCCCGGGCCGCGCGGTCCTCCCCGCCGTCCGCGCCGGATGGCGCCGGCGGAGGGGGCGGGGCGCGCGGCTGCGGGCTGCGGGCTGCTGGCTGCTCCTCGGCAGCCTCGCGGGCCGGAAACAATAGTTGAGCAGCCCGAGCGGCGGAGGGGCTGCGGCGGGGGTGGCCCGCGGAGACGCCAGCCTGCCTCGGCCCCTTCGCCCGCGTTGTCCCGCCCCTGAGAGCCCTGCGCCCGGCCGCCCGTGGTACCTGCGCGCGGCGCCCCGGACCCCGACGGACAGAGCAGCGGGGGGACC